GGAAAAAAACACTTACTAAAAATGAATTGCTAGCTCCCCAGTGAGAGGCAGCACTCCTCATAGCCACTGAGACCTGACCATTAGGGATGTATGAAACACCACCATTTCATTTCGATGTCCATTTTGCCGTTTCAAAGGGACAGTGTTTCGTTTCGTCATTTCATTTCATTTCAAATCACTGTACCATTTTGTTTTGGCAAACTGTTTCACTGTTTTGCCCATAGGCTATAATGGGGAAATCAGGAAGATGCCGAAAACTTCGTCATTTCTTGCCTGATTTGGATGAAAATTGCAGAGATGGTAGCACCTTCTGAGGGCATGAAGCCTGCTAAGTGTCAAGGAGATAGGTGCAGAGGTTTCTCGGAAACTGCACCTCAAACTACAAAAAGAAAAACTTGTGACACTTGCCAGCAGTGGCAGCCTCCTGTCATCCAGTGCGGTGGCAGGTGGGGAGAGCCAGGGCTGCACTTGGCCTCCCACTGCTGGGCTGAGCTCCATGGGACTATGGAGCCGCTCGGAGCACAGCCTTGGCTCTCCCCTGCCTCCCACCACTGAGCTGTTTCAAAGCTCTAAACATTTCAAAACGTTTTGAGTGCCTTCATTTAGTTCTGAAGCTGTTTTGAAGCTTTTTGTTTTGTTTTGATTTTGCTGTTTTGAGCTCAAAACATGCTGAAACAGTTTTGAAACAAAACACTTGGTAAAATTTCACACAGCCCTACTCACCATGCAGCCTGACAGAGGGAAAGGGGGCAGAGGGGCTCCTGGTACAAAAGAGAGCAGGCAAAGTAGTTGCTGCCCGCACAACTGTGCTGCTGATTGGCTGAAGGCTGCCTGTCGTGTGACCTACTCCTCTCCACCAAACAGCAGTGAGGGGCAGGGTCACATGACAGACAGCCCTCTTAGCCAATCAGTGGCAAGGGGTAGAGCCACATGACTGACAGCCCCTCTCAACTAATCAGTGGGGGAGCAGGGCCACTGGGGCTTCTTGGCTAATCACAGGCAGGGGCTTATCATGACCCCTGCCACAATAAGCCTGTGAAAGTGGCATCCAGCTCCACAATCTGCCAGTAAAATTCTCCACCCACCTCCTCAATTTGGGCAGACCCCTGGGTATGAAGTAAAAATGACAACTGTTTTGCCTCATATTGTTGAGGCAACAAAATCTTAGCTTAGTATCAAACTAGACAATGGCTGGCAATGGTTGCATCTACATTTTTATTAATGCATCACAGTTATTGCACATTAAGTGCAAATCAGTTAAATCAATGTGCAGTAACTCACGCCACTGTGCCGTAATGCCAGCACACGGGTTTTCAGTATTGCTTGCTGTGCAATAGCCTACTGCACAGTAGCATATTAGCATGGTTTTTGCTCAGCACACTACTGCGAAATGTTATTAGGCTACTGTGCAGTTAGCATCTTATATAGATGAGCCCAATACTATTTATTCTATCACAGAGATTGGGGGGTGGCCAACTTATGGCATGTGCCACAAGTGACATGGGCAACCTCTGTCTGGCATGTGCCTGATTGAAGAGGGGAAAGGTTGTACAGTGGATAACAGCACAGAGTAGAAAGCAGAAAGGAGAGGAGCAGATTAGGTAGGGAAGGGGATAAGAGTTGTTCTGAGGAGCTAGGGACAGATGTTACACATAAACCGATATAAGTGATCAGAAACTGGTTTAAACCTGTAACAGAACAGAAGTTCAGTGTATTTAAACTGCTTTCAAAATGGCTGAAACTGGTTTAAGATAAGCCTGATTGGAGGTAGTATCCTAAATGTTTTAAGTCAAACCAGTTTATGGAACTTCTGTCCCAGATCTCCTCCCGGTTCAAGTTAACTCACAGTCCCCCACCATCTCATAATGATTTGCAGCCCTGGGCTGGCCTATCCACTTCAGCAAGCAGGGTCTGCTCCACCCTCTGCTCCCTAGACAGAGCACCATATCACTCCTTCAGGTGGCTGAGGAGGAGGAGGAGGCAGTCCAGCACCAGACCCCAGCCGGGTGCTGCCAGAAGTGGGGAGAGGGAAAGGAGGGAACCCAACCCCCAGCCAGGCCTGGGGAGGGGAGGGGGAGTCTGCAGTGAGGGCTTAACTTTGCACCCCAGAGCTGGGAGCCACACTCCCTTCTCATTCTCTAGGCTGGCTGGGAGGAAGATAAAACCCTGCACCCAGGCTTGGCTCTGCTCCCAGAGCCTGCAGCTGGAAGCCATGCCCCATTCTTAGCCTCCAGGCTAGCTGAGGGCAGCAGGTGGGGGAAAGCCCGCACCAGGGCTTGGCTCTGCCCCTAGAGCTGGGGCCCAAGCCCCCTTCTTAGCCTCCAGGCTGGCTGTGGGGAGGGGAGAGGCAGGGGAAGGAGATGCCTATACACAGAGCTGGGATCCAGAAGCCATGCCCCCTTCTAAGCCCCCCAGCTGGCTGAAAGGAGATAGAGATTGGCTCCATCCCTCAGAGTTGGGAGCAGGGCTGGAGTCCCCTAGTCATGTCTCCTTCTCAGCCTGTAGGATAGCTGAGAGGGGGACG